TCCCAGAATCTGTAGTTTGTAGTTGACCATTTCCTTGGCAACTTGTGCACATCTACCTGGTTCCAGTAAAGTGCGGACATTCCATGTTCCCAAGTGAAATGCTGCCTTCTGAATAAGGAAGTATTTCTTTTTCATTGGTTTAAGTAGAGTGGTCGGCCTCACAGGATTCGTTCGACTTTCCCTGCATAGCTTCATAAGTCTCCTTTGTGGAGCTCTACTTTCGCCTCTGACAATGTTTAGTGTTTGTGCTTTTGTTCTGGTTTCTGTAACACTATTTTTTTTCCATGGACAGGTTGTTAGCCTATCGCACAACCCCTGTGTCCCGGGGAGGGGGATGCAACGTTTGTCTGGCCTCTTTCCTAACGGACCTGTCCGGCTTGGTAGTACCTGCCAGGAGTGATGAGCTCCCGGCTGTATAGATCTGAGAGTCATTGAGGCACTCAAGCTGTCACACCATGGCAAGGTATGTGCATCAGGTGACAGTTTCTGTACTTTTGCTAGCTCACTCTGTCTGTCTGGTAAATAGTGTGTACACGTTATTTCTCCCACACCTATTCTCGAGTTGAAACTTGGCACAGTTATTCATTGGCATAGACAACACATGAATCAATTAAAAAAGTAACCAAATAGTCACTTAAATACTGGTAATGGGGTGGCTCTTCCGACGTGTCAAATCCAAACAATGAAGTAAAAAGGAGGTAACCTTTACCAACCCAGTAAACACCGGGGCGAAAGGCCGAAACAATCCAATTAGGTAGTCGACACGAGTGTTAACAAAATAAACACTTTTAATATTGAAAAAAGGGAGTTCCGTCCAATGTCCTTCGTTATTAGCTGTCTGTATCTTCAAAAGACCTGCTGTTTCTAGTGTCGAATAGAGCGTTCTTGTTTTTTAACTATCTGTCACGTCATTAGTCACTAAGTAAAACTTTACCACTATTCCCGAAACAAATAACTAATTCCTAATTATGTCTTAACAGTAATTAATTATTTTGTTTGCGATCAACATGGGAAACTATTCCTTCAGTATTCACAGATATGGCTAAATAATCGTTAAAGCTTTTTATCCCTCAAGCATTCTCTGATCAAGTTGAAACTTTAAACAATTTTTATTGCACCTAACAAAACATGAAATAATATAGAAAAATACCTAATTAATGAATTAATTATTGGTAAATTATTATTTTGTTTGATATCGAATAAGGGAAATATCTTGTACATGATTGATAGATATAATTTTAAGGGCGAGTTCTTCCCCTTTAGATAAGCTCTCTTATATTTTTTTAAAGGATTTTTTTAAAATTGTGCTTGTTACTCTTCAGTGCTGAAGTGCCTCTACTTTTCTTTCTAACTAATGGTGTTACTCTATTGTCTAGTTAAATGCGAATGTTGGTTTGTTTTAAATCTCATAGCTCTATTTTGCGTTTGTTCCAGTTTCTTTATATGTTATCTTTAGCTGACGGATCCCAAACAGAGGACGCACATTCTACTAGTGGTATAAACAAGTTTAATTATCAAATTAGCTTATATTGTTATATATATATATATATATACATATTGGTGTTGATTTCGAGCCATTTATCATTACAGTTTGTTCTCTTGTCAGGACCAATACTGAATTTATTGGTGAAATGGACCAGTAATGCCCTTACCTCCAATAAAATATTTCTTATGGAAGTTAACATGCCCATGATTAATTAAATATCAAACTAATTTAACTCAATCACACTCAGCGTCACAATAGCATCGTCGAAAAAAAAAGTGCTAACTCCAGCGGTTTTATCAGAAATTATTATCTAGTTTGAGGATTTAAAGTGTTAAATATTTCGGAGTTGTTTGATGGCCATTAAAGTCCGAGTCAAACTTTAGCCCATTGTATCGGCATAAGATATTTGTAAATCTACTTTTATATTGTCTACATGGTCAATCTATGAACAAAAGTAAAGCAAAGATGATGTAAAGGTAATCAGTTTATACTACCAGCACAATTTTCCCCAACTAATGTCAGGTACCTATTAGAGTTGGGTGGACTCAGCGGCGCCATGAAAATCCCGTAGTTCAAGACCATGTTTTCACCTAGATTCCCAGCCGAAACCCCTCAAGCACTTTACCCCCCAGCCCCCGCTTCCAATGCCATGAAAAGTGTGGTATATGTGGTGCACTTACGAGTCGTCGGTCCCGGCTCTCACACCGTGCGTACTTGAAAGTATGGCTCTTAGCAGGGCCGGTCCTACAGGTTGCGATGCCCCATTCGAAACGGATTGCGCGGGGCCCAGTCTGGGTAGCGATAAGGATAATAAGTGAAAATTAAGATTTTGTATTAGAAAATAAACTAGTTTTTGCTTTTTTTTTCATAAGTACAAAATCACGGTCACATCAACTTTACGAACCATCTACAGTACATAGTATTCACATAGCAGTTTTCCAACGAAAAGATTGAGATCTTCCTTTTAGATTTACTATGAACTACCTAAATATCGCTTTTGATTTTTTTTTTAGATGGAGATAGATTTAGATCTATATTTATATGCCAGTGACTATTAAAGTAAACTGAGGATTTAACTTCTTGTTTTAGTTAAAATTCGACTTATTGGTACATTTTTATTAAATGAAAGCTGGCAATGTCGTTTTTTTTTTCATCGCGAGTAGAATTGGCATTGTCCATATTGATTTACACCCCGAAATGACAATTTTCTCCTTTTTTAAATGGAGATTTGCATGAGTTTTCAGAAGAATTTAATAATTTCAGGAGATTTTCATGACTTTTCATGATACAAGGTTACAAAGACAGTTTGTGTGGAAACACAAACTCAAAATCGGCCCCCGAAGTGGTCCACACAGGAAAGAAAAAAAGGCAGGTTTAAATATTTTCAGAAGAATATCAGAATTAAATTCTATCAGAAGTGGTCCACCTAGGCTGGTAAAAAGGATGGGTCTCAATATTTTCAGAAAGAATATCATAATAAAATTATATCAAAGGCAAAAGACAGAGAAGAATGGAGAAAGAAGGTTGACAGATCTTGTGTGGTGCCCCAAAGGGATAGGTGAAACTGAATGTGAAGCTAGATGTGATCCTGGCCTAACTGATGTCTTATAATGAGTATCTAATTGATCTAATTGTTTTGTAAAGGTCAATCTCTTATTCAAAGCCTCAAGAAAAAAATATATTTCGTAGCAAGGCTACAAAGACAGTTTGTGTGGAAACACAAACTGAAAATCGGCCCCCGAAGTGGTCAACCTTGAGGCTTCATCAGGATTCGAACACGGGACTTCTGTTTCCAAGTGCTTTATTACTCAGCCACAGCATCTCCATATATTCATTTAGCGTAAACTTATATTTTTTTAAATAATAATTATTAACCTTATCCATAAATTAAAAATTAACAACATGTTACATTACATTGTAATAAAGAGAAACTAAAAAAGATGTATGCTTCTTACAAAATTGAATAAATTGGCAACAGGCAAAAAAAATCCTTGACCTGTTTTAGTTATGTAGAGAGCTAGCTAGAAATGATTTGAAAGACTTGTAGGTCTACTAGACCAGACATTCCCCTAGGTTAGGGGTGGGCAAATTACGGTCCGTAATTTTGTAAATAATTTTTGATCAATCGAAATTTCGAAAATGACGCTATGCTAAACAAACTGATACAGACAAAGCCAGAAATGTGTCGCATTCATGCTGTGATAATGTATGGAAAACTTGATGATAAAAATATAGTTGCCTATGATAAAAAATAACAAGTTCTCACGTGGGCCCCTAATGGTCATGAGTAATGGGCCCAAGCGCAATGAGCCCCCGTTGCGCCATTGTTGTTACGCTACAAGCTGTGGGGTTAGGGTTATTCCTAATGGTCGTGGGCCCGGGTTCATTGAACCCCTTCGCGCCATGGATGCTATGCCACTGATCTACTAAAGGCCTATCTAGACTAGAACTCGTATGAATTTACACGTTTAATCTTAAAATTACTAGACCTATTCCAATGCTATGATCATGAATAGTAGGCCTTTTGTTACCAGGTAATGCCATTACTGATGTACTTTGCTGTTCGTATTCGATTCATTTCTTAAAGTAAATAAATATAAAATATATTTTATAATGAACCATTGACACTTTTATCATTGTGACCTTAGACCTTTCTGTAACAATGCGCGAATCTATGAATGAAGCTTGAGTTATTAATGAAGAGTTAAAAAAGAGTTACCTCCCCTGAAGTTTTTCATTGACATTTGGTGTAATTTTTTTGAAAAATCTGCTTGCATATATTTTAAATATTTAAAAAATTAGATAGTTCACTTTCGGAAAAGAAAATAGTAGCCGTTGCATCAGAACTTTGAATGATCTAAAATATCATGATGTCCGATTTTCATTTTCTCTTTTAGTTTCTGAGATCTGAACGGGACGGAAAGACAGGTCAAACAAAACTAATAGCGTCTTTTCCCCTTTAGAGGGCCGCTAAAAATGGTTTAATTTAATAATTTACACCTGGGGCCTATGGACGTGCTGGGCCAACTACGGCCGCAAAGGTTGCAGTGGCCTAAGACCGGCCCTGGTTCATAGCCACCCGCAACCGCAAACACCCCTCTAGATGACTTTTTAAAATGAAACAGAACAAGGAAAATAACTTGAGTGCAGTTTTTATTAAAATTTTGATAAAGACAGAGAAAGAGCGAAGAATGTACAAAATGAAACATTAAACAGTACACTACTAAGCAAAGCAAAAGCTAGACATTTGTTAACACTAAGTCACAGAGTATCTTCTGATAGCTGAGAATCATCTTATTAGTAGGCCTAGCCCTTTTTCTTAGCTTGTTCTTCCTCGTGGAGACATGTAGTTCGGCAGTGTTGTTCGGTCTTGAAAACGTCCTTGTTATTCTTGTTGCAGTGTTTGAGGAATTCACATTTACGAGCATAGCTAAACCAGAAGTAACTTCCGCCAGTTTTTTTGGCACAATCTTCACCACTTGAATCGAACCTACACGGTGAAGCTGTAGGCAGGAAACAATTGGGAAACAAAAATGTTGAAAAGTAATTTCACTCAATGTAACAATGTTTTATATACATGTTTTTTTTTTAAGTAGAGTATTTTGATATCTTTCTAGTATCGTCGTAACTACATCAATTTATGTTTTAGAACAGTGGTGCTCAAAATGTAGAATTTTACCAGGAAAATTGAAGGGATCTTTGCTATTGAAACATGATGATATGCCAACATATTTGATTTGTAAATAAAATGTGGCTGTTTAAAAAAAACAACCACATGCATAACAGTATTATGAACAAATATGACGGCACTCTTGGTATGAGCCGCAAATAAAAGATTGATTAACTACTTCTAGAGAGTGGAGGATTGATGGGGAAAGTTATAAAAAAGAGAAAAGAAAACTAGCTACAATGTTTCTCACATTTTAAGTAGCGAAATGAAGCCACTTTCCGACGCGTAAAAAAAGAAAAACTTCCAATGTCTAATTATTAGTGTAAGTTTGTAATCAAACAGTTTCAAGTCAATTTCATTTCGTTTTTGTACCTTATCGGTCATGTGGCCCGCGACACGAGTGTCGGAAATATAAATGGCCCCCAGGATGAAAAAGGTTGGGCATCACTGTTTTAGAAAATGTGAGGCAGGTAAGTGGACGGGTTCTGGCTATTTCAGCACCAATACATGTGACCTACAAGCTACCCAACAAGCCCTCCCTCCCTCACACAAATACATGTGACTTACAAGCTACCAACAAGCCCTCCCTCCCTCGCACAAATACATGTAACTTACAAGCTACCAACAAGGCCTCCCTCCCTCACACAAATACATGACTTACAAGCTACCAACAAGCCCTCCCTCCCTCACACAAATACGTGACTTACAAGCTACCAACAAGCCCTCCCTCCCTCCCTCACACATATATATGTGACTTACAAGCTACCAACAAGCCCTTCCTCCCTCACACAAATACATGACCTACATGCTACCAACAAGCCCTCCCTCCCTCACACAAATACATGTGACTTATAAGCTACCAATTAGCCTCTCTCTCCCTCACACAAATACATGACCTACAAGCTACCAACAAGCCCTCCCTCCATAACACAAATACATGACCTACAAGCTACCAACAAGCCCTCCCTCCCTCGCACAAATATATGTGACTTACAAGCTACCAACAAGCCCTCCCTCCCTCACACAAATACATGACCTACAAGCTACCAACAAGCCCTCCCTCCCTCGCACAAATATATGTGACTTACAAGCTACCAACAAGCCCTCCCTCCCTCACACAAATACATGACTTACAAGCTACCAACAAGCCCTCCCTCCCTCACACAAATACATGTGACTTACAAGCTACCAACAAGCCCTCCCTCCCTCACACAAATACATGTGACTTATAAGCTACCAACAAGCCTCTCTCTCCCTCACACAAATACATGACCTACAAGCCTTCCCTCCCTCACACAAATATATGTGACTTACAAGCTACCAACAAGCCCTTCCTCCCTCACACAAATACATGTGACTTACAAGCTACCAACAAGCCCTCCCTCCCTCACACAAATACATGTGACTTATAAGCTATCAACAAGCCCTCCCTCCCTCACACAAATACATGTGACTTACAAGCTACCAACAAGCCCTCCCTCCCTCCCACAAATACATGACCTACAAGCTACCAACAAGCCCTCCCTCCCTCGCACAAATATATGTGACTTACAAGCTACCAACAAGCCCTCCCTCCCTCACACAAATACATGACCTACAAGCTACCAACAAGCCCTCCCTCCCTCGCACAAATATATGTGACTTACAAGCTACCAACAAGCCCTCCCTCCCTCACACAAATACATGACTTACAAGCTACCAACAAGCCTTCCCTCCCTCACACAAATACATGTGACTTACAAGCTACCAACAAGCCCTCCCTCCCTCACACAAATACATGTGACTTATAAGCTACCAACAAGCCTCTCTCTCCCTCACACAAATACATGACCTACAAGCTACCAACAAGCCCTCCCTCCCTCACACAAATATATGTGACTTACAAGCTACCAACAAGCCCTTCCTCCCTCACACAAATACATGACCTACATGCTACCAACAAGCCCTCCCTCCCTCGCACAAATATATGTGACTTACAAGCTACCAACAAGCCCTCCCTCCCTCACACAAATGCATGACCTACAAGCTACCAACAAGCCCTCCCTCCCTCACACAAATATATGTGACTTACAAGCTACCAACAAGCCCTTCCTCCCTCACACAAATACATGACCTACATGCTACCAACAAGCCCTCCCTCCCTCACACAAATACATGTGACTTATAAGCTACCAATTACCCTCTCTCTCCCTCACACAAATACATGACCTACAAGCTACCAACAAGCCCTCCCTCCCTCACACAAATACATTATTATTAGTATAGCTTTTATATAGCGCTACTTTCATGCTTATAGCATGCTCAGAGCGCTTTTGGTCCAATCTCATTTGTGGACCGGTGGGGGGGAGGGGGTATCTAGGAGTTAGTTTTCCGTGCTGCCTTTAGGCGCTCAGTCGGGTGTCGAACCTCGAGCCCCCTTCTAGGTAGCCAAGCCAAGCAAAGTTCAAACACACTTAGCCTCTCGACGACGCTTCCCACATGACCTACAAGCTACCAACAAGCCCTCCCTCCCTCACACAAATACATGTGACCTACAAGCTACCAACAAGCCCTCCCTCACACAAATACATGTAACTTATAAGCTACCAACAAGCCCTCCCTCCCTCACACAAATACATGTGACCTACAAGCTACCAACAAGCCCTCCCTCCCTCAATATTAACTGTTCATGAATCCCTCTCAAACCCAGAGCACGAGTTCCTTCTTGTCGCCTTTTTAAAGACGGCCAGCTTTGTATGTGTAGACAAAGAGGCGAATGTGTACTTCCCTTAAATACAACAAACCACTGTAAATGAAATCTTGTTTCAAATTAAAGCCAACATTCCAGTGTGTGATGTATTTTACCGACCTCGTTGTTGAGCCTTCGTGAAACCGTTTATAAGAGGAAATAAAACTCGGCAAACGGGTAACTCAAACATCCAATTGGCTTCAAGAAGAAGGAAGGTCTCGATAGACCTTTTTTCTTCCGCCAAGCCACCAGCCAAGTCTCTATACATTGTGGAAATACGAAGGACTTCACGTGGAACTTGGCCTCCGGCGTTACCTCAACACGAGCCATTGCGCGAGCCCCTGTCACCCCGCAAAGCAGAGGTAACTAAAGGATCATCTATAATCAGCCATATGTGACCTGAGGACAAATGTGGCCCACAGACCATTCACACGAACATAATGATTTAAGTACTGTCGTGAAATAATATTTAGTCAAAAAGAATAGCTAGATGTTTATTCAATTAATTGTTAAGATGATAACTGATGGGACAACCTTACACATTAGAAACAGGAAATAATCTTACACTTCGTATCTTCTTAGCATCTCTATTAAAAACAAAATGCACTGCTGTCAAATGTCTAAGTAATGCTAAATGTTATGACCAATAACAAACTATCTTTAATTATAGAGTAGGACAAAATAGATCTAAATAGACATAGGCGGCTAACCATTATTATTAGCTAGTAATTTTCATTATATTCTTCAACGTTTCTTAAAAACACAAGTAAGTTTATTTTGCTATCTTGTACTTACGTTTGCGATTATACGTTTGACTAACACCTAAGCTGAACAGAAGTAAGGTGAAGAAAATGATCGACATTGTCTTGGGTCTTAGTCTTCTCTCAAATCTTCAGTCCTGAAATCCTAAGCAAATCATGCGTTGTGATACTTATTCTTCCAATAAGATTTAGAAACAGATTTTAAAAATTAAATATGTAATTTAACGACCTACAAAAGCTCTGTATTTTTTTTTGTATGGTAAATTAATCCAATTTCTTTTTCGTGCTAGGAATAACTGTAATGTTCGTCAAATTAGATACTTGTGCAAAAACTCAGACGTGCTAGAAACATCCTAAATGTGAGACATCATAGCAATTGTTTTTTTTTTTACTACATAAATGATGCTTAGCGCAAGCTAGCGTTCCAGACACCTACGCACCAAAAGTCTTGCAAAGAAAGACAACAACTGTACCTAAATGTATTTAAAACCTGTACTTGCATTTATAGTACTAAGAATCTTGATTCAAGATGTCGGCCAACGTTAGTGCTAGGAGTAACTAAAGGGAAGAAGCCAATCATTTCATACGCTGTAATGTAACTTTTAGTTTAAAGCAAATTTCCCAGAAGAAACGACTTTTCGCAGGTAGTTTATCATTTGTGCCACGTTTGGAGCTCCAGGACAGGACCGAAACAAGTAGATTTGGCGCCAAAACAGCGCCTACCAGTGCAGGACATTTTTCTTCAAATTGTACTTTATGAGAAGAATACCTCTCATTGAGTTGGATGCATAGTTTATTCCCTCATTTGTCCAGTGTGCAATTATCAGCGAAAACACTCTCTCAATTTTGGCCACATGTTCTTATCATGTTTAGGTGTTATTTTTTTCATTTTCAACATGGCGCTCTAAATCAATGCTGTCCTTGTTTGCAACCGACTCGCGTGAATCACAAACAAGACTTTTGGTTTCATTAACGGTGTGCCCTCCCCAAAACATTGATACTTAGTCTACATTTTACCTGGCAATGTACACCTTCTCTTTATTTGACTACTAGCATCTAGAACTAACGTTAGCCGACACTCTTGAATACAAATTCTAAACACAAACATGGGGGCCTATTATGGGTGACTATCATCTGAATTTATCATGCCACTCATTATACAATTCAACATACCCTACAGGAAAACATGATATCTTTTGATACTTTTTATGTGAAGGAATTGTTGTATTTAAACCAAAATAATTGAAGTATTTAGTAAGTAAACAACACTGAAAAAGTCAGACATCTTAACACTTTAGACTAGTGCCGACCGGACGAAGGACACGGCCCCAAAAAGGAGGAGATGGCTTAACGTCTGGTAACCCTAAGCCCAGCAGATGATTTTAATCTTCTTTAAATAGCCTACCACCATTGAGCCATGGGAGTTGAATGGCCACCAGTGAGCCAGGTGAATTGAATGGCCACCAGTGAGCCAGGTGAATTGAATGGCCACCAGTGAGCCAAGTGAATTGAATGGCCACCATTGAGCCAAATGAATTGAATGGCAACCAGTGAGCCAAATGAATTGAATGGCAACCAGTGAGCCAAATGAATTAAATGGCAACCAGTGAGCCAAGTGAATTGAATGTCCATCAGTGAGCCAAGTGAATTGAATGTCCACCAGTGAGCCAAGTGAATTAAATTGCAACCAGTGAGCCAATTGAATTGAATGGCCACCAGTGACTCAAGTGAACAGAGTGGCCACCAGTGAACCAAGTGTGCTGAGCCATGGGGTTCAACTGACCCTTTGTCAGCCATAGGGTTATACTGATCCTATGTGAGACAGAGATTAACTGGCCATGTGTTAGCCAAGGAGCTCAACAGGACATCTGTGAGTCCCATGGTTTAATTGGCCATGTGTGAGTCATGTGGATTAGTTGGGCAACTGTAAATCTCTGTAATTGACTGCTAAAATCCTTCTAACTTAATTTTGCTGAACCATATTTAGTCTGTTATCGATTTTGGCAGATGACTTCCTTGTCTTGCATGCATATATCGCTGTTGGGAAGACAATTGTTTCAAGTAGGTGAATTTTTGTCTTGTCCAATAGCTTGGCTTGTCCAAATAGGCCGCAGCCTTTGGAAAACGGCCCCTGCTTTTCCCTATTCAGCACACTACATCATGGTATTCGTCCCCGTCCTATGCTATGGAGCAGACGTATTGAAATGTCTACTGAAATGGTCTAATTTTTGCGAAAAAATGTCGCTTATAATGAGTTAATTTAAAATTACTCTGTATTCTCTGTACAGATAGAAACATGTTACATTATCGAATGTTGTAAAAAACCATTTTTTTTTAAATATAGGCCCACATCGAGTGTGGAGAGTGCTGCTTTTAAACGTAAGTTCAATTTTTATGTGTAACTATATTTTAAAAGAAAATTGGAACTCATAGCTTATATAATCTACCCCGTATGCTACCATGCTATTTGATATGAATATGAAACACTGTTCTAAACATACCTCATCAATTTAGTTGTCCCTCTAAGTTCGGAGTGACTATGAAATGTTTGTTGCTAATGGAGCATTCCTCTCTCTCTCTCTCTCCTTTCTCCTTAATGCAAACTTAATTATCAGTAATTATCACAAGCATGTACATGTTGTTAACTAATTATAATCGCTTAGTCCACAGTCAAACCATTTACAGGGAGATCAGTTGTAAGATACAACATTGTGGTAAACAGATCCCTAAATGTTTGTGACCATCTTTAGAAGTGTGACCACACAACTGACTCTATATCAGTATGACGGTATAACCACATCAATGTGACTATATTCCTATGACCACACCGCTGTGACTATATGCCTATAACTCAGGGGTTCTCAACCTGTGGATCGCGACCCCATTGGGGGTCGATTGACGATTTGCCAGGGGTCGCAAAGGACCATCGAAAATAAGGATTGTTATTGTTTATTCTTCTATTTGTGTATGTGTGTGTGTGTGTGTGCGGGAGTCGCAGAAGAGTGGGGGATTGTAAAAAGGGGTCGCCGAGCATAAAAGGTTGAGAACCGCTGCTATAACTACACCACTGTGACAATATTCTATATAAACAGACAAATGAGTTTACATCATTATAAAAAGACAACTGAAATTATATCAGTACAAGCAAGATATAAAATACTTTTTAAAAAAAGACAGTTTGTGTGGAAACACAAACTCAAAATCGGCCTCCGAATTGGTCCACTCAGGCAGGCTTCAATATTTTCAGAAAGAACATCCGAATGAAATTATATCAAAGACAAATGAGAGATAAGAATGGAGAAAGAAGGTTAACAGATCTTGTGTAGTGCCCCAACGGTCCAGCAGATCAAAGGATAGGTGAAAGTGAATGTAAAGTTAGATGTGAACCTGGCTTAACTAGTTCCCCTTTCAGACCTTGTGATCTATAGGGCAGATGATGTTAAGTTCATCAGTTTTGTGACCTACGGTTAACGAGGGTGTCATGTAGCCAGCACAATGACCAACCGCCTTTACTTTTGCCCAACTAATGTCAGGTACCCATTAGAGCTGAGTGGACTCAGAGGCGCCCAAAGATTCCAAAGTTGAAAATATTAGTCTTTACCAGGATTCGAACCCGGGACCCCCGGTTCGGAAGCCAAGCGCTTTACCGCTCAGCCACCGCGCCTCCCTTGGCCTAACTGATGTCTTATAATTGATCTAATGGTTTTGAAAAAGTTCAATCTCTTACTCTGATGCCCAAATAAAATAAAAGTGTAGGAAAATGAAGCTTACAAGTTTACTATTCGTTTTCAATTACGTCTTAATTATGATGCATACTAATTAGCTTTTTCTCTTTAAAAAACTGCTCTCATAACTGATTTTAAAAATCACATTTTTCGCTTTAGAACAAAAAAAGGAGCCGTTGCATCAGAACTTTGAATGGTCTAAAATATTGAGATGTCGGATTTTTAATATCTTTTCTAGTTTACGGGATCTAAACGGGACGAACGGACAGACGGACAGGCATTTCGCACAAAACTAATAGCGTCTTTTCCCCTTTCGGGAGCCGC